ACAAGCAGCTAGAGAAATAATGAAAGTAATTTGCACATTAAGCATCTTGTGCTGCATTATTTGCCAGGGAAAGGCAAAATCATAGTTTGCATTATTGGCAGTATGGCTCTGAGTCTGATCTTTTTACTGAACCACTTCGTTTGTCTGCCTGATCGCACTGAACTTCTAGTGAACTTATGTACAGGAATTCCTCCATATGAACTGTCTCACGTTCGTCCTGTGCAAGCTTAGAATGTTAGTGATTGGTCACTCGGTGGTGGGGGAGGGGGTAACTGGATAGGGAACCTTTAACTAGCCACTAAGCATGGAGTTCAAATCCAGCCCAGATATATAGTGACACAGTTATTACTGTACTATGACAACTGCCTAGTGGCCTAGATGCAAGTTGATGGCTCTCAATCCATCACCCAGTGGATGCACATCATTGGAAAAAAATCACTATCTAATTATTGCCCTGGATGACAGTCACCTCTGAGAGGCCAAGAGTTCAGTGGAGATGGAGTTCACATTGCCTGTCCAGAGAGGTGGCTTCTCCAATATTAAGATGTATTCATGGTGCCGGGTGGGGAGGGTCGTACTGCCATTGCCAGTGCTGTACTTGTTCTGTGAATAAATAAAGAACCAGGGTGTCAGTACCAACTTCTTTCACCACCTTGGAATACACAAGCACATTTTAAAAATTAAATAAATAAATCGAATTAGGGACAGAAAATAAGAAAAACAAGAGGCAGTGGGTCTGCACTGGTTTAAAAGCATTTTTTATTGAAATGCATTCTTTGCTCAATGCTTATTTGCTCAGCTATGAGCTTTCCGACAAGTAGATTGAAAGGTTCTCTAATTTCAGCAGTGCCTTTTCCTTAAGTATCTCTCTCTACTAGAATATTATTGTACAGCATACTCAGTAAATCATAGTAGATATCCAGATTCCTCCTACTCTTACAGCAGCAGTGCATTAGAGCTATATGTTTTCTCTGATGTACTCCTTTGTTGGAAGCATATTAGTGTCTGAACTGTCTTTATCAGGATACTAGCCCTCTCTGTACTGATAGCAATAGACCTGGCAGACCTAAAAAGCATTGCCTGGAACTGTTTTATACTTCACTATACCTGGTCATTATGAAATTTGGAGAGGTATGAAAGCTTGAAATACATGAAAGTGAAGACAGGTATATTTAGGGTTTAGAACAGGGGTTCTCAAACTGGGGGTCGCGAGGTTATTACCTCAGGGTCGCAAGCTGTCAGCGTCCACCCCAAACCCCGCTTTGTTTCCAGCATTTATAATGGTGTTAAATATATTTAAAAAGTGTTTTTAATTTATTAGGGGGGGTCGCACTCAGAGGCTTGCTATGTGAAAGGGGTCACCAGTACAAAAGTTTGAGAACCACTGGTTGAGAACATGACAATTCTTAGTGGAAGGCATGGAAATGTAGTGAAAAGGGCTTGATTTAACCTTGTGTCATGCCAGCTTCTGTTACAGGAGTGCTTTATATCTGGATATATATATACACCGCTACCTCGATATAATGCTGTCCTCAGGAGCCAAAAAATCTTACTGCGTTATAGGTGAAACCGCGTTATATCAAACTTGCTTTGATGCACCGGAGTGCGCAGCCCCACCCCACCCTCCCCCGGAGCACTGCTTTACCGCGTTATATCCGAATTCGTGTTATATCGGGTCGCGTTATATCGAGGTAGCGGTGTATACACATAGTTAATAAATGAGATGCCAGTCAGGAATATGCAGCATAGTTCCAGGGGTTTGTAGGACAATAAAACTTCTGGTTGTACACTGCAGATGGCTTCCTCTGGCAGACTTATGCATCAGTTCCTAGCATGGCCTCAGAAGTAAATCAGTTTTTAAGCCTTAAATACACTGTTGTGGCTGTCCAGAATCATTGAGTCATTTCAGCAGTGGCTGTGAGCAACATTCCCTGCTGTGATGCAAATACATGGGTATACTGGTGAAAAGTGGAGCTTCCTCAGGGTCACATGGACAATCTGTTAAGTGGCTGGCTGTAAGACTGGAAAGAAAGCATGGTAATCGGAGTGGCAATATCAGCATAATGCAAAACGCTGGTGGTGGAGAATGTTCTTGTTCTGCCAGGAGACCTGCAGTCAATTTATTGCAATCCCTGAGTAGACACACATTTCTGCTAGGTGGCATGTCTGAAGCTACTGATTTATTGCGTACTCTGGCTAGCCTTCAGTCCATGGAGCCTTGACTGTACGTTATACCTGATGTCTACTGGTGAAGCCCCATGAGCAGGAAAAAGTGCAAACAGTGCTTTTGACTTCTCCAGTGACCCTGCTGGTACAGTGGGTGCAAAGTTTGCACCTGCTACCCAAACAGGTTTGAATTGAGTCCAAAATGTGAAATGGCCAGCACTCTTTATAAGTAATATATTTAAAAAGTACTTATGGTTCCTTCGGAGGTGAGTTTGGTATAAAATGGGTTTTTGGACTTGAAGTTTGCAAAAAAAGGAGGGGGAAACGATACTTGATTCCTCACTGTTATGCTCATTTTTTCACTTGTAAAGACACCGGAAACCACAGAGCCTTATCTGCACCAGAGCTCCTACCAGTTTGATTAGAAATGCAGCTGAACTGAGGGTACTATGCATGGGATTTTTTCCCTAAAATTCTTTAGTATAGAGAGGCCCTGGAGTGGCCAAGATTTCTACTTCTCTACAGGTAGGATAATGCCCCGACATTAGGGTTGCCAACTTTCTAATTGTATAAAACCGAACACCCTTGCCCTGACCCTTCCCTGAGGCACTGCCCCTGCTCTGCCCCTTCTCCGAGGCCCCGACCCACTCATTCCATTCCCCCTCCCTCTGTCGCTTGCTCTTCCCCACCCTTCACTCACTTGTTTATTTTCACCAGGCTGGGGCAGGGGTTGGGATGCAGGAGGGGGTGAGGGCTCAGGCTGGGGGTGCAGGCTCTGGGGTGGGGCCAGAAATGAGGGGTTCAGGGTGCAGCAGGGGGCTCCGGACTGGGGCAGGGGGTTGGGGTGTTGGAGGGGGTGTGGGCTCTGGCTGGGGATGCGGGCTTGGGTGGGGCCAGGAATGAGGGGTTTGGGGTGCAGGAGGGATTCAGGGCTGGGACAGGGGGTCAGGTGCTAGAGGGGGCGCAGGCTGGGGCTGAGGGGTTTGGCATGCGGGAGGGGGCTCCGGGTTGGGGCAGGGGGTTGGGGTGCGGGCTCTGACTGGGGTCTGGGCTCTGGGGTGGGGCTGGGGGTTGGGGTGCAGGAGGGGGTTCCGATCTAGGGCAAGGGATTGGGGTGGGGAAATACAGAAAGACCTGGATTTTAACACACTGTTCCAGCCCCATTTCCTGCTAGACTGATGTTGAGCTAAGTTGCCTGGTCATTGTGGATGAGTCCAAATCATGCTAAATTATTTTCAAAACCACAGTCAAGATTACAAAACTGAAATACATACAGACTAAGGGCTCCCTGCTCCCACTGGAGTTGAGGATGATCACTCAGTACCACATGGGATCTGGCCCTAAACTAGCTTCCTCCTAGCATCAAGTATAGTGGGATTTTTAATGTTTAACATGGCTTTACCTTCCACTGACCAGCCAACTGTGTTCAGAACCAGTTTAAGGGGAATTGTGGTAAACTGACCTAAAAGGCACTTGTTTAGTTTATAATCTCTTCTCTCATGAAAGATCAAACAGGGCCAAATCCTCTTGTGGTGTAAATCAGCATAGCTCCTTTAAGTCGATGCCCATTTACATTAGAGCTTGACCATAGCCTTTGCTTAATTGTCTGGATGAAAAATGAGAGTGTGTTTCCTGTGAACCTTCAGTTAATCCCCTGGATTTTGTGCATATCAGGCTCAGAGTGGAAAAAAAAGTCAGTAAACATACAATAGGAATTAGAATGGGATAGGAATTTGTACTAAAAAGGCACATGTACAAAGAACTGTAGCAATGGTTTGACCACTGAATGCAGCAAACGGATAGGGAGGTAATTTCCATATAATGTATTCCATCCTGATTAAGATGATGATGCCAGTGTAGATCTGGGACCTCAGTGCATGCCTTCACCTAGTGATGACTTCACATCTTTTATTTGCCTTATAGGGCAAATACTGCTTGTCTTACTTACAGTCCCATTGAAGTCATTGGCATAGGGTGAGCAAGATTTAGCCCTTTGTGGGCCATCAATGATAGGTTAAATAAAGAAGAGTTTTGTGTAATGGTGAGGGAATAAGGCTTTGAATAGAAAAGGGGTAAATCATATACACCGGACCCTCGCTAGAACGCGGGATTTGGGATCCACACGCGGTACCGCGTTATAGCGGGGACCACGTTAAAATGAATTGTAATTAAATTTGGGATCCATGGCCACGACTGCATTATATGTGAATTCATGCTATATAGACGCACGTTCTAGCGAGGGTCCGGTGTACTTCTTTCCGGGCAGTTTTCTCTGTGTGTGTGTGTGTGTGTGTGTGTGTAACTTGTTCCCCCCCCCCTTAATGTCTTGAGCCCAGTTCTGTTTTAAATATTGTAACTTTTGTATAGTGTCCCAAATATCCAGTGATGGATACCATGGAAATTGGTAAATTGTTGATATCGAAGGAACAAAACTGGTTAAAGAGCAACTGCAGAGATGTAAATATTTGGATAGAAAAATGACCGTTCTGTTAAATACTTCTTCAGTATTTGTTTTCAAAAGATCTTTCAGTGTTGTTTTAAACTGGTCAAATGGGATGACCAGTGTGACTACTCTTATATGGCGAATTTGAATATGTTTACTAATTTAGGAACCAAAAAGTCTATGTAGGACAGCTATATCAGATCAAACAAAGCGCGTAACAGTGCCTGTCCCATGATTTATTGTAAGACTCCTGCATGCTGCATCATGCAACAGGCATTTTAAACCTTCTGAAAGAAAAAAAGAAAAAGAGCAAGATTTCAATCCTAGTATAACTAGTGCTTTGGAAATGTTTACCATTAAATGATTCATTTTTTATGTTTCTCTCTTACAGCATCAAGCTCTTGGCAGTGCAGGAGCTGTTCGATAGAGATGCTTTGGAAAAGGTATTTTTTTAACCTTTTATACAACAACAATAAAATGTATTCAAGCTCAAATCTTTTAATGTCAGCAGGGTTTCCAAACTTCATGTGAAATCAAACAGCATAAAACATAAGCAAGTAGGACTTCTTTTCAGCTTCACAATACATAGAGTCAGAGGGACAACATTTGTTCTGGACTGATTGTATTCTCTAGAGGCTTTTGTATGTTATAGCAGGATTTGAAAAGAAATCTCTCTCTCTAATCTGTTTGTAGGAGCATTTCCAAAGCAACTTTCCTAGTAGCTAGGTGAAGAACATGGTTTGCAAAAAGAGTGAGGAATGTCCAAAGAGGTCAGGAAGACCCTAATTCTGTGCTACATCCCTTTGGAGCCTGAGGGGCCTGGCCAGGGCAAAAGTGGCTTTATGCAGAGGGAGGAGCACTGATGTAGAGAGGGCTCCAACAATTTGGCTACTCAGAACAAGTCTACAAAACATGTGTTTAAGACAATGGCAGTTGCTGGCATCCAGTCTACACTAGTGATCCCAGCAGTGAAGCTGTTCTGGTGGCAATGAAGGAAAATTTGTAGCATAAATTTCCTATTGAGACAAGGCCAAGAATGTACCACAAACAGGCCACTTGAGATCTGAATGAGCAGATTTAAGGAGCCATATACACCAGAGCCAGGCTTTTCATGTAAATCATAAAAATCATGTATTTATAATCACTCCAGCTTCAGATCTTTCAAAAATACTAATCTATTCCATGGAGAACCAGACATCCTATTTGTTGTCCACTCAATTTGAAGCTGCTATAGCCTGCCCTGCATTCATTTCATATGATCAATATTCTAGAAATACTAGGAGATATAGAATGAACATGTGTAGAGAACTACCTCAGTCCTGAACAACAGGAACAACCCTTGGTATTGCGTGCAGAGGGCCAGCACAAGTTGTGTCTGTGTCGTGAGCTTTGTTTTTGCACAGGGTGAGTTTCACAAAGGGCCTTAACCACACCTCTTTAAGTCAATGGGAGTCATTTCATTGGCTTCAGTAGACTAAGAGCAAGATTTTTGGCTAAGGGCATCAACTATCTGATCCTTCTTTCTTTTTATACACACACCCACCCATTTTTTATATATATAACAAATAAGCATATGATGTTGTTGTTGTTGTTGTTTCTGGTGGTGGATCTACTAGGGTCCTTCTTTGAGGGTCATTGGACTTTTAATTCCACATGTCTTTGGCAGACCTCTGTTTACCTTTTGGCAAAATGCCTCCTTAAACAAGACCTTGCAAGAAAGGGTGACCTCAGTGTGGTGTGGCTGCCGGACAGACCATTGTTTGTAGCTTTGCAGGAAACTCTTCATAAAAGCTCGACATAAGAAAAATGATGTTTCTAAATTGAGCTCTGTGACTATTTTATATCTGCTTTGATACTATGCCAGGCTTAAAGAATTAAAAAGGCCAATTTATCCCCCTGGAAAATAACAGTGTTGTGTTATATACGTACAGGAACATTTTGCACTCCCCATCCTTCTTTTTTTAATTTTTTTTTTTAAGCACACGTCACTAGAACAGTGATCTCTGTGCTATCTACTTAGAGTTCCTCTGTGGAATATGCAACTCATGTTGTCTTTTAAATCGCTATTTAATCCTATAGTGTTGTAGAAATAAAACAAAATACTAAATATCTTTTACTAATCCGTACACCTTAGATTTCTTGTATCTAAAGGTGCTTGGATGGTGTTTTTTTTTTAAGCTAGCTGAGTTTTTAACAAAGGTGTTTTTCCTTTAATACATTTTCTGGCCTTTGTCACATCATCTTACTGGGTATTCACTAATAATATATTTTCTTTAACTTCAGTAGCCTAATTTTTCATTTCTTGATACAGAATCCTGTGTTGATTTTTAAAAGAAGGGTGAGATATAATATACTTACAAAGGTTTTATGTGAACATCTGTGGAGGAGGAGGAGGAGGAGGAGAAGAAAGAGCTCCCCCTCAGTCCGACAGAGACCTGTGCACATGCTTAAGTTTGCACATGGTGAAGTAGTCCCACTGAAGGCAAAGTCCCATGGAAGTGTGTAAAGTTAAACATGTGCATAGGTCTTTGCAGAATCAAGGCCTAGATATGGGGAAACAACTGATCAGGCAATAACTATTAACAGGGTTTTGTGTCTTTTTTAAAAGCTTATCTGGATTTTGGGGAGATGCTCATGAAAGTGAGGGGCTGACAGCACTGCCTTGACTCACAGAGCGGGGGTAGGAGTTAGCAGTTTCTCAAGCTATGAACATAGCACCTCCTTGATGGTGGTAGAATCAAAACAGCCTGTGATAGCCTGATTCAGTATGTCAGTTTTTGACACACACTCCTTAAACACAAGAAAAAGAGCAAGATAAAGATCTAACTGTATATTTAAATTATTTACCTTTATATTTTGATTTTTCAAGAGCAAAAGTTGGTGGTTTTTTTTTTTTTTTGTTTTAATCTTATCTTTAACTACTTATGTTCATTTACTTTTTGCATTTTCCCCAGCTTGGACAATAAATAGATTGGTCAGTTTTACTTTCAGGTACTCATAGACTAGAACAATGCTGCAACATATGGGGCTTCGTACAGTGTGAAGAAATATTTGTTTTTTGTTAAAAAGAAACAAACCTGTTATTATTTAATTCTAATAATAATGGAAACATTTACATTGTTCTGAGGTTTTGTAGAACTTTAATTTTAGAAACTGGCCAAATTTGGCCTGACAATGCCCTTTTAAGCCAAAAAAGTCAATGGAACTCCCATTAATTTCAGTGGACTTCAGTTCAGGATTTAAATTAGATGACATTGGCATGTGGTTGTCATCATCACTGGTGATTGCTATGTGTTTTGTTTTGTTTTTTAAAATCTCCTTTAAAAGCCTCCCTGGAGTTCAATAATATCAATTTTGATCCTTTTATTTTGGTAAAATCATAAGATTATTTCCAGTTCCGTATTGATATTTTGCCAAATATTTTCCCAGTTGGGTCTGACATGTTAATGATGTTGGGGCCTTGATCCCATTTTTCATTGAGATTTTGTAAGCCTGCACTATAGAATACTATACTTATTGTAGGCCATTCCTTCCCTAATTGTGTATTAGTAAGCTTGCCTATCTGCTGATATACTGGATTGTGTAATAAAGGACTCTGATATTTACACAGCAGATATGTCAGGGTTGCCAGTTTCTTGTCAACTATTAGGAGTTTTACTTCTTAAGATAGTGTTGTCTGTTTAGTAGTCTTTTGAAAGTATAAGGTCAACTGGAATGTATGGATGGGTTAGAAATGAATTGTCTAGCCTGGAATGAGCGATGTTCTTGAGCAGTTTACCCAGGCTGGGGTGAGAACTGGGTTAATGTACACTGGAGTTCTTACTAGAGTTAATATCCAGTGCACTTGATAGCTGGGTTAAGTAGAGGTATGTGTCTGTTCTCTAAATGTCAGCATCCTTTCTACTCTGACATTTTGTGTGGGGATGTGCATGGAAAGCTAAATGATAGAGATATTAATCTGGTAGGTCCTTTTCCTCCAGGCAGCCCTGTCTTCCCCCCTCTCTCCTCCCCAAATCATATGAAGGAGATAGGGCTGTTTCTTTTCCCATAAAAAGAACATAATTATCTTGTTTTAAAACGTGTAGCATTTATCTGCATTGATGACAATCCCAAAATCCAAGTAATTCATAGGATATATGTTCATTATTAGCTATTTTCACCCTACTCAGCAGTGAGAAGAGTAGTTCAGGTCACCTTTGTGCACTTCTGTTTGTATTGTGATGTGATCCAAATTTAAGTGGAACCAGGTTGAAAAGTGGGGCACACATCTTTTATGCCCCCTTCTTTGCCAGTGTGAAACAGTAGATGTTGGGATCGATATTTTGGACCCGCCCAGTAGGTGTGACCATTCCTGTTGATGCAGAATCCTGATACAGACCCACAGAGGAATCAGTGAAATACAGTGGGTGTGGTGTTGAGCAGGCTGGTTTATTTACTATAACACTAATGTCAACCGCATAGCAACTGATACTACATTCTGTTTGCTTGATAGAGATGCCTTTAAGTATTGGGTGCTGCATATTAGCATTGCCAGGTGTTCCAGGGAAACATCCAGAGGACGGGAGAAAAGAGGCAACTCTGTTGCATTCCCCTTTGTAGCTGTACAATTATTATTGCAGTTTGCAGGGGATTTCAGGCACTTCTAACCTATTTTTAAAATGCTGAGTTGTGCAGTGCTGTCTCTGCAGTAGTGTTCTGTGGTCTGCTAAGTGTACTGATAGGCAGAGATGTTTAACAAGAAACTATTTTCAGTGTTCTTGATTCAATACAGTATTTTCTTCTGACATTATCTGCACGTTCTTTGACAATCTCTGTTGAGTTATTAGAATGTCAGTTGGGGGTGAGTTTTTTTTTTTTTTTTTTGGTCTACTTTTGAGTAGATTGAGACAGATCAGTGTTTAATCATGATTAAACACATTGTAATCACTGTGCTTTCTAAATCCCTTTCAGAGCAAAGCAGACTTTTTTTTTTTTTTTTTTTTTTTTGTGAAAGGATGTTAAGCAGAAAAGAGTTGTTCAGTGTTTGAAATACAGCTCATGTTTCCTGTTTGCATGTTTAAGTACAGGCACGTCAGTTCTTGTGTACATGAATACTCCAATATGTACGAGTCTGTGTATGCATCTTTATGTGCGTGTGTGCATATATATATGGTGGGACAAACAGAACCTGGTATAATCCTATCTACTGCCCTCATTGCGATAGCATCTGGCCACCTCACAATTATTAATGAATTTATCCTTCCAGCATCCCAAAGGGGTAGGGAAGAATTATTATCCTAATTTTATAGATGAGGAATGGAGATGCACAGAGGTTAAATGACTTGCAAAAGGTCACCCTAGAAGTCTGGCTAGGTCAGGAATTGAATCCAGGTCTCCTGAGTCCAGTCCAGTGTTTTAACAACAATTTTTTCCCTCATGGACGTAAGTTTTATTGACTCCAGCA